TGTTACTCTGTCTTGCTTATTTAATCTCTCTCAGGCTGCAATAGGATTTAATTGTGTCTAAGTGATCCTGGGTATCTGTGTGTGGCAATGTGTGTGTGGCAGTTTTTCAGTGTCTCAGTGTCTCAGGGTATGTCAGTGTGTGTGACAGTGTGTGTCTCACTGCGTGTGTGTGTGTCAGTGTGTGTGTGTGTCCACCGGGAGGAAGCAGGGGGAGGGGTGAGCTGATGAGTCTGGTGATCATGGCCGTTGTAGTGGGGCTCCCCTTTGTCCCAGATGTGCTCCCAGGCAGGTCAGACAGAGGTCAGGGGTCAGGCCTGTGCCCTCAGTGGGGGGGGGTGTGTGTGTGAGCGAGTGAGTGAAAATCTCGGGGTGCCAGAATCCGCTAGCTCCCATGTTTGGGGCTCTAGCCACCCGGGTCACAGGTCACACCTGGGGTCACAGGGTCACAGACAGACTGACGTGGACGCGGACAGGCCAGCCGTGACAGCAGCCCTGCGCGTTCACCCAGCTCCTCCCCTGTCTGTCTCTCTCGCTCCAGCCACTCACACAGCATCATGGAGCCCGGCCTGGAACCTGATTGGCTCATGCGAGGCAGGCAGCCCTCTGATTGGCCAGGCCTCGACGCCGGAGCCCTCCCCCGAGATCCGATTGGCTGACAGAGGGAAAGAAAGGAGAAGGGAAAGAGGAAGCTCGTCGCCGATTGGCTGGCCCCGTCACCGCCTCGTCCCGCGCCCTGCACGCCGATTGGCTGAAGACATCACAGGGGCTCCTGCTATTGGAGGATTTGCACAGAAGGGGCAGTCCCTCCCTCCCTCTCTCTCTCTCTCGTTCTTTCTGATTGGCTGCCCTAAGAACCTCCTTTTTTCCTTTTGCGTTGATTTCTGGATCACACTGGAAGAGCCATGACTGGACTTGATACGATAAGTGACTCCCTGCTTTGTTAGTGAGCCAGCTCGTTGAGCCCAGTCTCTGCTTCGCTCCCTGGTTTGGACTGAGAACAGGAACGACGACACCAGGGAAGAGTAAAACAGAGAATTCTTGGGGGCCTTTTTT